GTCAATCTGAGGACTTTGTTGTGAATTTTAGTAGCTGCGTTTATGCCTAACTCTAACCTTGACCATAGGATATTCCTAACTCTAGCCCAAACAAAAGCTTAATTCATGCCGTTCATCTCAGCCTAACTAGTAGAGCTCATTGGAAAAAACCCAGAGGATCAGGAAAATGTCCTTACTCATGTACAAATACAGACACACACACAAAGCCTGACCCGACACATAAAGCTGCTGACGGATCAGCTGGCTTGTTATCTCAGTCTGTCTGTCAGGTTGGTGGCAGAGGCTCGCCTGCTGCACATGAGAAAGCTTATGTCTGTGTGTGTGTGCACTTGTTTGTGGGGGGACGTTGCCCCGTCTTCTTTCTAAAAGACCTTCTATACCAGAGCCACAGCTGTCTTTTTGGGGTCTCTCTCGCATGACAGCAACATTTTTTTCATTCTGGTCTTTCGTGTTTTCCCTTTATCCGTTCTGTCTTTACCAACTCTTTGTTCGTTGACTTGGGGGGGGGGGGGGGAACTTTTGCAGAGTTTGTATACACATACAGGATATGCTAAAACTAGGCTTTTCTGGTTTTTGCTCAGATTTTGGAGTTCTGTTTGTGAAGAAACGAAATGTCTGCTAAAGGGGAGTTTCCCTACAAATTACATAAGGAATAACAACTACTGTTTTGATTTGTGTTTCAGCAGATTCCTCCTGAAGTTGCCATTTTTCTAGATACGTTTTTCCCCTTCTCCCAATGGAGTAAAGGACATTAGTACTCTCTCTGCTTTGTAGCTTTCCTTTAACTCCTTCCACCTCTCTGCTCTCTTGACCTCTTCACATCGCTCTCCTCTTCATCGTCTCAGCCGTTTGCTGCTCCTCCGTGGCCCGTCCTCCTCCCCCGCCACCATTATTTTTCCACCTCTCTTTCACATCTTGCCTCCTCCTGTTTCTCTTATCTCCTCTCCTCTCATCCCAGAGGAGACGGCGCACATCGGATTTACAGTAATTCTGCACGGTAAAGAGAGAACAGAGCTTTAAAAAGAAACACCGCCATGCCTTGTACTCCCGCCATCGTTCATCTCTATAGTAGCCAGATCTGCCCACAGTGCCCACCTCTTTGTGTGACACCAATGTGGACGCAAACACATTAGTCATATATTTTTTTTTTTAAATGTCTCAAGCGCCACCGTTAGTTTTGTTGAAATGTTTCGAATGTGTAGTTTCAACTTGAGAGAAGAGTGCTTCTTTTAAATCTGTGTGAGACGGTCTTTGTTTGCATCCATCAGACCTCTCGTCATGCGGCTGCATCCTTCTTTAAGTACAAAAGGATTTTCTGAGAAATCCTCCATTACTTCATCAGTTCTGCACAGCGGCTTCCTGAAGGGTAACTGCGCTAAACATTTGGTGGTGCTGTATAATGAAGCACGGAAGAAGACGCAGGGCCGGTTCTGAATAAGGCGGACTGTGTGGACAGAGATGAGTTTCTAGTGCGCCTGAAAAAGAGAGAACCGTGCTCAAAAGAGTGAAGACACACCATCGACTAATCCCTGCCTCGGCTCAGATGTGTCTTTTTTTTTTTTTTTCCAAGTGAGGTTTAAATATCTTTTTCTGCCTTTCTCATTGATGTGTGAAGAGTAACTGCTGCGTCTTTTTCATGATTTCCCGGGATACGCGTCAAACGGAGGCAGAGAGATGTTTAAATGTGTATTTCAGAAAGCTTTGATGTTGACACACACTGAAGAAAGTCCCCTCTAACACCATTTACATCTGACTTTTAACTTTAGGGGAAAGAGGAAATCATTATTCCCTGCCAAGTTTCAAGTCTGCAGTACTTCTGGGTGTTTGTAATCTCAACTTCCACTAATTAAAGTGTTAAATTAAGCATCAGTGCTTGTTCCCTCCCGAAGTTTGAAATAAACGACTAAACAACCAAATAACTTTGGAGATGCGCTGATTGGAGATTTAGTGTCAGTAGCACTTTAAGTGCTATAACCAACGGTGTTCAAAGTATTTTGTTTAATCCTTCATGCTCTGAGCGCTCATTGTCACTGCAAAACAGCCTTTGCTCTTTTAAAATACAGAAAAAAATTTTTTCAATCAAATTAAAAATACTTTACCCATCCTAAAGGAAAATTAAAACAGCTCACCGTCTGAGCTGCAGAGACAATACTCCACAGTGACATGTCCTGGATGACACCGTCAGATGTTGACGATCACTGCTAATCCGTCTCATTTGCTTTTGCTGCTCCTCTTTAAATGTCTGTAATGACTTTCACACTTTTGAAACTCTGAACTGTGACCTGATTGCACCAATCAAACAAAAAACAGGATCAGTTGAGCTGAAAATTGTCCGTTTCCAGGCAACAAAAGATAAAAGACTAATGGCTTTGCCAAGTGACTTTTCATATCTTTTTCAACATTACTCCGTTGGCACACATCTTTATATGATTGCTGTTGGATAATTTTATTTTTTTTTTATCAACTAAATCATGTTAATAATAAGGTTGATGTGTTTTCATGAAGTTTTCAGGTTCCTTCTTGAGATGTAGTGTGTGTGTGTGTTCCTATTTTGATTTCCTGTGTTCGTGAGCTTGCATTTGTTTGTGCTCTTTGCATCTGCATTGCTAGCTGTCATCATGCTTGCAAGGCAGACTTGTGGATTTCCTTTTGTGCAAATATTTGTCTCTTTGCATGTTTCCTGTTAACCGGAAAACACTGCGATGGGTCAGTGGACTGACATCGGGTTAACAGGTGTGATGCTGTTTGGACTATTGAGCTGTTGCTAGCTGTAACCTTTTCTGCATGCACAAGCTTATAAGCTGACAAAGGTTGGTACCTAACTTGGCACAACATAAGAAAACCCTAAAACTGCAGTTTTCTCCCCATTTTAAAATAATATTGACTTTAATTAAAGGATTAAGGGATTACACGGCCCTGTTAATTCTTCAACCTCTCAGGCTTAGAAAGCACTTTCATAGCTAACAGGATAATGCCTGCATTGTCATCAAGCTAAACAGAGATGTGTCTTTTTTTTTTTTTTTACCCTTATTGCCACTTAGAGATTAAGGAGGTGTTTTTTCTCTCAACTTGGATAGATTTGTTAAAAAATATACCAGGTGATTAATGCTCGAGATTTTCAGAGTAAGAAAAGAAGAACTTTAAAAAGCAGCAGCAGGGATTTATTGATGGAGGAGTCCCTACCAGGTTTATTTATGTAGCACTAAAAACCCCCCCACAAGGGTAGAAAATGAAAGTTTAGAGTTTATAGATGAGATGAAGAGGAAGCTTAAAGAAGAAGAAGAAAAAGATCATTTTCCTCTAAGATATCCGATGTGATTTCATATCGCATTTCTTTGGCTGGTGCAGAATGAGAGATCACACAGCTCGGTTAAAGCTTGTCCTCCAACGCTGAGATCAGTTTACCTCTAACTACATTTTCTTCAGCTGAGTTTCTGCAGTTTGCTCATAAACACAGACTCCCGTTTCTGAATATTTTTCTTCCCTTTTCTTTCTTTTTTTTAAATTTTCGTTTTCTGTCCCGACGCTTTGATGTCTCCATCGGTCTACTTGGACGCTTCCCTTCCACGACCTTCCCGTTTTGTTTGTTCCTGCTCCAAATTTTAGACGCAGCCGACTGAGAGAAACCAGCGTCTTTTGCCACCTTGACGATGACGTTTTCTAATCCCCTCCATTGTTTCGGCTGACAGGCCTCTTGTTGGGACCATGTTTCCCGTCAATCAGCCGGCAGCAGCTCCTGGTGGTCTGCAAGCACTCTTTTAAATCCAGACTCATTTGCATGGACTTTGCAGGCATTTGTTTCGGAAATTCAAATTTGAGGCTAATTCCAACATGAGATCGTAACATCTTGTTCTTATTTACAACAGTGACATTTTACTTCATTTTGTTCTATTTGGTTTGCAGGATTATGTTTTCAGTGCGAATGATTACTAATGATGCGTCACATATGAATGATGTTGGATCTTTCTAAAACTGAGCTGTGATACATGTAATGGACTATTAAAAAACAGAGGGCTGTTTTAATAGATTTGAATAAATCTGGATCTCCCACAACTTGTCTCTATTAAGGTTTATAGTTTGAACTGCAGTCATATTCATAACTCAGCACAAACAGAAAGATGTCGAATAGCTTACGAAGGCAAGTTAGAGTCATAGCTTACCGTTTCTAATTTCCCTGCTGGTCGAGTTAAATGGAAAATAACATTTCATCCCGTCATACCTTGTTGGCATAGCCGTCTTGATATCCTTCCACCGAAATGTGAAGCAGCAAACATTACAGTGGCGTCACTGTTTTTGCAGCTTTTTCTGTTTATTCAGGGACGTCTGCAGCATTGGTGATGGAGAACATGCATTCAAGATCAAAATTATTAATACCCCTCACAGTTTTAGTCTTAAAACAATCATTTCATGTATTTCTTTGGACTAACATCCAATATTAATGTCTTTGAGTGCCTCAGTCAGAAAGCAGACTTGAGCTGAACATTAGGGTGATGGCAGGGAGGCATTCCAATCTGTAGATTATTTATTTATTTATTTATTTATTTATTTATTTATTTATTTATTTTTCTACTGATGCTCCTTTTCCGTTAACTTATTACCTTTTGCAAGATGTCTGTCCCATTCCTGTCAGAAACAAACCAAATGGTTGGCAATAATTCAACTATCTGACCAGGGAATAAAAAACTGTGACTTTATTCAGAAAGTTGGATTTGATGTGCTGGACAGCGTGATAAAAGGTTTCAACTTTCAGGGAAGTTAGATTTGACTTTCTTCTCATATGAATATAACTACTTAGACCCTCCAGCTTCCACTTTAGCTATAATAAAACTTCACAGCTAGAGTTTTCCTCACAAATGTAGCAGAGTTAATTAGATCCAGTCAGCGGTACAGCAGAGAAGTTGATGATCCTTTTCTTTTGTGTTCAGGTTCACAAGTAAGAGGCAGCTGCAGTAGAGCCTCTAAACTTACTATGAATGTTGTTTCCATATATATATATAAACATCTGAAAAAACTCACGTGTGTTCTCCTCTGAGCAAAAGAAACCTAAAAAGCCTTTCTTCTGTCTGAACCCCCCCGCCCCCTTTTAAACCTGCACCTTTGTCGGCTTTTATTTCTCTTCCGGTGTTCCCCTCAGGTTAGTTTTTACATCCATCATTACAAAGAGATGCTGCTCTTGCCATTTTTTGCCCTCACTCCCGTTATCATTTTCCACAGACTATAAATCGGGCTCTTCACCACTCTGTGCTGCATCTCATTCCAGGCGTCGTGTCACATTGCGTTCCCATATGACTCGTTGTTCCCGCTGCAGCGGATCAGGGGTCTCGGTTCATATTCATAGAAAGACGTGTGATCGGAGCAGAAGTTCATCCCAGAATTCACCCTGATGTCTCTCAGGTTTGAAGGGATTCTTTTTGAGAGGTTAAGGAAGGTAAAAAAAAAAAGAACAAAAAAACAAGTTACTGGTTTGATTCTCAGCAGAGAGAACCTGCAAAAAAAGAGAAAGGTTTTCCTCTCTTCTTTTTATTTGCATTAGAGTATTTTATTACTTTCTTATATATTAGTCCAGCTAAAAGAAATGGAGAAATGTTTACTTGTTCTTTGAAAATTGCTATTATGAAACGATTAAACTCTGACTAAACTAGTTCAGCAACTAAATGCATCATAAATAGAAGCTTGCTTAATGTATCAGAAACTGCATGGCTGTCTTTTTCTGAACTCCTGGTCGAACTGCGATATGAAGCCCTTCCGCTCTGAAAGCGTAATGACGCAGACGCAAATGACCCAGCGGCTGATGATCCACGGTTTGTCGCTTTATTGCCTTTTCTCACTTAAGGATAAACTTATAGAATCAAACGCGATGGAATCGGAGTCATTAAGTGGGGTTTGGTTTTTGCCTTGATTTGTTTTTGGCATTTTCCTGGAAGTTATTAAGCCCAGCAAATTAGAGTTATCGTGCAATACGAGGCCATTATGAACATCTGAAGGCAGCTGATGATTAATGAAGAGCTTTTATTCAGTTTGTCATTTATAGAGCAACGCCGTCAGCTCAAGCTGGAACTGTACGCACAAACACTTTGCAGAACTCGGGCTGAAACAGTTAAGACCGTGGATGAACTCAACTGGGAGTTTGTGGCCAATTCCCGATTATGGATTTTGTGACGCTCTGACTTGCTGGAAGAAATTTAAACTTATTTTGAATTTCTCCTTTATTAATAACAGGATACTTCCCCCTCTCCTCCCTTTTCGCATTAATTTAAACTAGAACTCACCAGCAATAAAACATTTATAGTAAAATATGGTTTTAGCCTGAATTTCCTAATAAATAAATAACATAATAATAATAATAATAATAATAATTACAATAGATTTAATTGACGCTTTTTCAACTCAAATCGCACCTGAAAACATATTCGATTATTATACACGCCATCCAGAAACGGATAACATTTTTAGTTTCCAGCTAGCCAATCACTGGACGGGGCAGATTAAGTGTAAAACGTTTGATTACAATCAAATTGCCTCCTCCTGTGTTTCAGATCTGGTGTATCCCTAATGAAGAAGGGTAATAAATAGGCTGTAAACCTCTTAAATTTCAAATTACACAATGCTTAGCGGACAAATAATATGTAAACGACCCAAAAGTTACGCTGGGATTCCTCGGGGTCTCCACAGGCAGGACGAATGAGGTGCATTAAATGAAATCTCTGAAGGTAAACCTGATGAGTCTCGAACTTCTGGAGCTCCTTTGATTTTAAGTTTCTATTTTAGGAGGTAGGAGTTACAGCTTGTGAATCTTTTCATTTTCAGTCTGCTTCTCTCTGGTAATATTTTTACATTTTCAGTGTTTTCTCCAGAGAGAGGGAGAGTAGAGTAAAAAGCCGGAGACACACACACACACACACACACACACACACACACAGAGAAGACACTGGCTCCCTCCTGATAGCAGTCACACTGCTGTCTGCTTAGACCGCCTCTACATAACAGAAACTACGCTGAAGAGCCTCCAAGCACACTCAAATTAATTGGATTTGCTGTTAAATTGCTTCTTTTGACAAGTGCACACACACACACACACACACGCACACACGCATGCACACATACAAATACCCTTGCAGTTAGCTCGCTGTGATTAAAAATATGTTGTAGCATCTCTAGCAGCAAATGGAAGTTCCCAGCTCCAGTCTACTGCAGTTTAATAAGTCTCTTGCACTCACACACGGGCTTCCAGCTACAAATCAGGACAAGAAATTGGCTTTTCTTTCTCCAAAAGAGGTAATTAGCCACTTATGCCTGAACTAAAATAAGCCTTGCAGAAACTGTATCCCCAACATTCATCTGTCTTTGTCAGTTTTCAGCGAGTTTTGTTGCGACGATTAATTTTTTTCTTCTTTTTTTTTCCAGTATATTTGGTTTGGATTCAGTCGTCCCTATAGCTTATTTGTGAAGAGATACTTTTACGTGAAGCAAATTGTCTGCATTATGTTACCCTGCTGGAACAGAAAGGGGCACTAATCACGAGCAGGTGTCGGTAAACACGCTGTTCCTCACTGGTCTCTGGCCAGCAAGGCACTAAAGCCAGTAGCATCTCTGGTCTATTTGGAGTCTGCTTTGTTCTTCAGCAGCTTTCAGAGCGAGAACACAGCAAAGTCCCACTGCATGCTGTTCTTACTGCATAAAATAACGCTCATTAAGCATTATAATTCAGCTTTATGTGAAGCATGCTGGTTTTTATTTTAGACCAAACTTAACGCATCAGGTCCTGTCACATCCTGTTACCTGCACCGATCAGGCATAAGATTATGACCACCGACAGCTGCGTTTTACTACCCTGTCGTCATATCGCCTGGTGTGAGGCATGTTAGTCAGCAAGTGAACATTTGTCCATCATTTGATAAACAGGCAAGTGTAAGGATTTGAATGAGGTTGAAAATGTGATTTATAGATTTCAGCATCTAGCATCTCCAAAACTCCAGCTTTGGTTGTGTTGATCCCCAAACTGAGGGATCTTTTTTTTTTTTTTTTAAATCAACATTTGTATCAAAAATCAGCAGCAGATGCATATTTCTCCACTATACTGACAGAACGAAAAATCATATAAAAAATGCTGCTCTTTATTTCCATATTTTTAGTAAATAAGCAGTCACGCTCTGAAATATAGTGAAGGGTTTGTGTTGGGATTTTATTTCAAAGCTGGATAAAATCAGGCGATTTTGTTTTTCTTTATAAGAATGATCATGTTTTGCTGTTTGTGTTTCTTTAAAAACTTTTTTCATCAAGTATGAAATGCTGAGATCTTGCACCTTTGCAGATGAAAGAATTTTTTATTTTTTATTTTGCATTTTCTCATTAATGAGATGAAATACTTTTTTTTTTTTTTTTTCTCTTAAGGCACTTGGTTCAGCAAAAACAATTCGGCCGCGTTCCCATCGTGAGCGAAATTGAACGCACCACACATGGCCACGGTAGCAAATCTTTTATTCATCAGTAGCTTCGTCTATAGTTTTGATTTAAATGTGGTTTCCAGGATGAAAGCATTGTCCTGAGTCAAACAGAGGGTAAAGCAGACAAAAACTACCGACTGTCCACAAGTTGTGCCTTTTCTAAGCTTTAATGTGACAGTGACAGTGCAAGGACACACGTTCATGATGGGTGGATTATGTGTTGTGACTCTGAATGTGTGTGTGGAGGGTGGGCTGTCTTTCATCCAGTGGGTTTAACCTTGAGCACATGCATGCAGAGAGCGCTGCAGCTTCAGGAGCGGGCGGTAGAGGACAGAGCTACAACAGGTGATGGCACCGTGTGCGTGTCCTCAATGAGAGCGGCAGGGACCGATGGGCCGTCTCTGCTCCAGCGTCCTTTTTAAAGCGAGCTTTGAGTTAGTAAGACACAGATGTCCTCTCAGAGGAGATCCACACACCGTCTCCTTTTTTCTTTTAACTCCGTAAACAAATATGGGGCTGAGAAAGAGAAGCAGTTCAGAATGACCACTTTAGTCTGGTTTCAAGTAAATCCCACAAAGCTGTTGAAGTAAACATGTTTAGAGTTTAGACATAAACAGTGATCGTTTCTATGACTGATTTCTCTTCTCATAAGCATTGTAAATGTTCGTATATCATCCTAAGATAGTGGTGAGGTGGGGTTTTATTTTTGATACAAATCAGTGAAACCTTTTTAAGTATCTATATTCTGGTCTCACATTTATTATTAGCAAAACAATTTTTTTTAGCTCTTAAGATCTACTTTAGACCTTTAAGCATCTTAAATGGCCAAGAAACGAACAAAAACTTTAAAAGGTTGTCAGCTGTCAGATTTGCCATATGGTTTGCATCTGGTTTCCACTTATTTTCATCGTAAATGTTCATCAAATAAGCTAGGTTTGCCATTATAGCACTCTACAACAATATTCAAATCCTTGAGCTTTTTTTCTCATTTCTAATTGTGTCACATTAGAATCAGAGTTTATTTATTTTACAGGGATTTCACACGATAGACCAACACAATCTAAATCCCTGTGTTCAACGTCTTGGAGTAAATATTTTTGTGCTGCTGCCTTTTGCCACGGTTACAACAGTGAGATTTTTGAAGGATGTTTCCACCAGCTTTACTTTTTTTTTTTTTATCTTCAGATTTCTGAAAATGTCAAAATTTCCACTGAAAAATAAAAATAGAGCCCTAAATAACCAACGTAGCAAAACAAAAACACTTACACTTTAAATATTTTCATAACTTTGACCATTTCCTTCCACTTTACCGTAATCTACTACTTTGCGTCAGTCTCGAACGAAATTATTTACTCTCTGGCTGTGACAAAGTATAAAATCCTTCACAGGGAGTGAATCATTTTTACCCGTATCTGCATACTAGACCATATTTCAGCCAGTTTCTCATGATGCAGCATCCTGTCTCCTCTGTTAATGTTGTGCTGCAGCCTGTAGCATCTGTTACCTCACTAACAATTCCTCTGAAACGGCAGTGAGGGAAAAAAAACCCCCCAACAACATTGGTCTGCTTATGTTTTCAGTGTGGCGCGCTAATGATCCAGTTGCGCATAAGCTCAGGAGTCATTAGCAACATGTGCCATTAAGTAATGCATGAAAATAATTATAGAGCTGCTGTGTTGGTCTTCCGTTCACTCGGCGAGTATGAAGGTACGCTGTAGATGTTTGAAAAGACAATTTGACGTAGCTTCCTCTAACCCTTTCTGTTCTCCGCTCTCCTCAGCGGAGCCCCTGCCGCTCATGGACCTGTGTCGACGTGCGGCCCGCCTGGCGTTGGGTCGGGAACGGCTCAAGGAAATTGAGAGCCTCCCTCTGCCCCAGTCCCTCAAAAATTACCTCCAGTACCAGTGACCGACACCGGCAGATCCAACTGGGACAACAAGGACGAGGAGCAGGCCACCAGAGATTCTGCAGATGGACGATGAAAGGGTGAACTTGAGGTCGCACAGAGGGGATGATTGATTGAAGAACGTCCACACCGGAGCACCGCAGCTCTCATGAATCCGTACAAGGACGGATAAGGACGAAGGCAGATGAACTGGAGGCAGAGGAGGAGAGGAAATTCAGGCTTTCCAACAATCGGACCACACCAGCTTCTTCTTTCTTTTTTTTTAAAATTAATTTTAGGCTGCTTTTTTTGGTTTTAGACTTGAAATAAATTATTGATGACAGCGTCACATCAGTGTCTCTTTCATCCAGACTGAAAACCCATCCTCTGATGGCACAGCGCTGTTAGGTGGTGAAAGCAAACATCGCCATCTAGTGGTGAGAATAATAAAAAGAAAAAAAAAACAGGAGAAAGTAAGCACACTAATCCCATCCATGGAGGCCTTTCTGACATACACTCACTGACCATATCATTGCAGCTGATGTCTGTTCATAATCCACACTGGCACAGGTGGCTGGCGGCAGAATCAAAAAATGTCCAAAAGGATTTTTAGCACTGATGTATTTATGTGACTGACCCCAGGCCTGCCCATCAGCTCACACTGCACACAGATTACATCAGCACACATCTGGGAGGTGTGTGTACAGATCCACACAATACATCCTTATCTGAAGAGAACGAAGCCCCTTTTCAGACATTTAATGCCGTTTACCGCACTCTTCTTAATCCTTCTTCTCAACGCTTTAAATTAAAACGATTTTAACTCCTCGGCATGAGAACGTGGAGTTTGACAATGAATTATAAAACCAGAACTAGTTCTGATTTCTCACAACTGGTGACTCTTTAATTAGTTTTTAGTTGTATTAAATATATACTTTTTAATATTAAACAGATATGATGGTTAATTTGCAGTATTGTGAAAAGTTTGCCTTAGGAAGAACCTGATCTAAGTTCAGCTATTACGTGTTAAAACTAGAATAAAACATGTTCATAGTTCCCCACATAATCATTCTGAACGAAATTAAAACTTATATCATTAACTAATTTATGTTCATTCTTTTTTTTTCTTTTTTTTTTTACTTAATTCCATCTTTAAAATTATATACACTGCTCAAAAAAATAAAGGGAACACTCAAATAACACATCCTAGATCTGAATGAATGAAATATTCTCATTGAATACTTTGTTCTGTACAAAGTTGAATGTGCCGACAACAAAATCACACAAAAATCATCAATGGAAATCAAATTTATTAGCCAATGGAGGCCTGGATTTGGAGCCACACACAAAATTAAAGTGAAATGTTCCCTTTATGTTTTTGAGCAGTATAGATCATTGTCTTTAAGGTCATAAAGGCCATCTTGCAGCATTTACAAGCTGGTCTTTACAGCCTATTTGCCTCAGTTTAATGACCTTCTGTGCTTAGTTAAATGTATATGAAGTTGCTTAAAAACTCAAATGACTCTTTGTCCACGTTTCTCTTTTCACAGAGCGTACACTTCACATAAACGTCTATGTTACATGCTGCGCTCTGTCCATCGTGAAAAACATTAAGTCCAAAGTTTTCAAAAAATGTGCTGTTTTATTTTTTTAGATGCATTCACGCACAACAGAAACACAAAGGTATTTTTTTAGCATCATGTCCATGCATAACTAAATAATCTCTAAGTTACTCAATAAAACTTAGGCAAAGTTCAAATGAGGGCATTTTAAGCTAAATAAAATGATATACTACCACCCTGAGATCACTTACATGTTATCAAGTGGCATCTTCATAACGGTAAAGAAGTTTTAAACTTAAGAAAAACAAAATAGCAGTAAGAAAAAAAATAATCTGTTCACTGAATTTAATTCACAATACCACACTAAGCAGCTGTGGGAGAAACACTACGAAATAAGACAGAAGATCCAAGTGTTGATGCACAACTTTTCCTCCAATATGTCTGAAAGGGGCTTCATTTCTCAATCGGTTAGAAGAAATCTACCTTTCGGTTTTGGTTAAGCTAGTCTTTCGTTTCTTTGAAAACAATCAATCCTCACGTGACACTAACCCACTTACAACAATGTCAAATCACAACCAAAGTTATTTCGGTGGAAGCCATCGGTCGTAGAGACGCCGGCTGTTGTTTGTAGCGCCCCGCTGTAGCTCACTTGGTAGCAAGCAGCGTGTGTGTCAGCTCTCCACGCCACTGCTTTCACTTCTTAGGAGACCAGAGTTAGACTGGACCTGTAAGAGAGGCCGTAGCAGGACCTCTGGACCCGGCAGGTGTGCTGCTGGATCCGCACAGAACATAGACGACCAGTCCACAACCACGAGACCAATCGATTTCTACTTCCTTAAAAATGGCTCGAGTCACTTTTTCCAACTTTATTTGTGTTGTTCAGTATGAAACCTTTTAAATCCGATAATGAAAGGATGGAGTTAGGGTTTATTTATCACAAGCTAGCTGTGTGTTTGTGACATTCAGGTTGATTTTGTTAAGACGATGCTGACGATGAAGGGAGACGGAAACTCAAACTTGTTACTTCAATGCTGCTTTTATTAATTATTATTATTATTATTATTATTATTATTATTTGCGATGGTTATGGTCTTATCTTCTGTTTTTACTGGTTGGAATGAGGAGAATGGGACCATTTCAAGAGTTTAGTGGAATCAATTAGAAGTATGAAATGTGAATAAAAGCCAAGTGACATTAAAACACTTCATCGCCTTTTTTCTTTCAATCCACTTCTGCTTGCAAACGATAAGCACAAACGAAGCAATGTGATTTGAAGAACTCCTCTCTAAGACGCTCATCAATATGCAAAGACAGTACCTCAGCCAGTTTGAAGCAAAGGAAACAATATATTGACCAACAGGAAGATGGAAATGGGCCTGGCGGTTCGCCGGGGGGGTTCAGACTGCTACAGCATTTTTAATTTTGCCTCGGTGAGTTTTAATCTCTTGTACGTGCTAAGGGAGGGAAAACAATGTGGCAATTTTTCCTGCCTTTTGTTTGCTGATGTTCATTTAGCAGTTTTTTCCCCCCCTCCCTAGGAAGTCAACAGTTACTCAGCTTCTGATGCCGCTCCTGCTGCGGTAAATAAAACACATTCAGGAGGAAAACTGCAATCGACTTCAATCTAACAGAATCTGATGCTTCCTCCAGCTGCAGGATCAAGACTCTTCGTTAAAACAGGAACATGTCAAGCTCACACACACACACACACACGAGCATCATTATTTCCCTGTTTTCAGCGATTGGCTCTTATTATGGCAGCATAAGACCTATTAAAATGAAACGCTGCACAGGAGATGACAACAGACAACACTAGTGAGCTAATGGAAATCGATTTAGCCCCTAATTAGTCCCAGTTACAGGATGGTTCTTGCTATGAAGGTGTGAATAAGTCAACAAATGAAAACATATTAGTACAGTACTGGACTTTTATATTTCAAAAGAATGCTAGAGTAAAAGTGATTCAACTATTGATTAGTTTTGTTTTAAAACGTTCAATCTTGTAGAACCATCACTGATTCAATGAATAAAATGTTCAAGTTGGAGATACAATTTCACATCTACAACCCAGAAAGGTGAGTTTTAATTCAATATTAAAAAGATGATTGTTTCCACACCGTGCCACAAAGCGTTTTTTTTTTTTTTTCTTTCTATCAATTTTCCAGAAAATAATGAAACTACCAGACAGGTAACCATTAAGTTAAAGTCCCATGAAGACTCAACACCGACTGTTCAGGGCTTCAGCAGATGAAGTCTTGCCACGCTGCTTTCTGCCCTCAGTTCTGCTGAATGTGCATTTCTACGCTTCTTGCGTCCCCAAGGAGGGAGAAATACAATCGACTAATTAGTAGCTTAATGTGGCTTTTTAACCGATAAGCACTGCATGTTCAATAATGCTGAAACGGACCTCAGAGAGCCAAGAATGCAGTTAATAGCTATTGACTTGGTTGAGCCGTTAAGCTGGTGGAAAGGGATTTTCTGTGCTTGGACATTTCTGTCTGTGGCTCGTTCCATCTTTTCTTGAAGAACCTCCTCCAAATTAAAGTTTCATTTTTTTCTTTCTTCTCTGTTTACAAGACTAAGATTTTCTAAGTGCAGATCGTTCTCTTCGGCATCCTTCGTTCTCATCTCTTTATGCTGTAAAACCAGAGAAAATCATCAGCACACATGCTTTTAAAGGAACAGGATTCATTTTTTCAGCCACATAGAGACATTTTATACCACAGTCAATGTTATCTATAGTTGTTAAAAAAATGCTACATAAATCAAATATGACTAAAAAAACAAGATCTGACTTTGTAATTTAACGCCTTGAAATTGGACCTCCGTCTCTTTAAGAAAGTTTTGCTCTTCCTAACACTCTGCCTTCTGATTTCTTTAGCAAATATTTTGCCAACATTTCCCCTTTATGTATCTGAATATTCATATTTTATTTGTCTGGCTGAGTAAAAACATTGAGCAATAGTAATAAGGACAAATACACCAAATAGATCCTGATTGGTATTTATACGTAGAAACATAAACCGTTTTAACCCTGAAGAGCCAAACAGATGGGGTTGGGGGTTAGGTGAAATTATTTACCAAAAAATTCAAAGTTGGCATTTTTAATAGACTTTTAATCCAACCTTTAAAGCAACTTTGCATGAACTGTCAATATTTACCAAATGACACTTCCTGACATAAACATTCATAAAGACTCCTTCGTGTTCATAACAGGCGTTACGTCGCGTTATATTGTGTTAGTGTTATATTCTTATGCAATAATATTAGGTTTATTTAATATTAGGTTTATTTCTATTAAAGAAATAAACCTTTAATAGAACCTATCTGAATTTTATCTCTAATGTCGGTTTTACCCTGGCAGAGAAATGGCTTCACTTCTGACAAGAGCAAATAAAGAAACTGCATACGTAAGGTTAGAATATTCTTTACTGGCCCAAACGCTGGGACAGATGCTGTGAGATGTGTAAAAGACATCGCCTGCATCAACCCGAGTTTTCCATCAAAACAAAAGTAAACATCAGATCGCTTAGCAACAGCAGCCTGGAAGGATCCAAACAGAGAACGCGCGCGGACGCCGCAGACACAGGAAGCGGAGCCGAGTAGAGTCTAAAACAATTCTTTATTGATCCATTTACAGAAAGCTGTGGGATGACCACCAGATAGAGATAAATCCCAACTATTTAGTTTACAAAAAGAAAAGGAAACGGATATATAAAATAACGGTCTTAAACATTTTTACAGGGTTTCGTTTCATATGTAAAAGAACCTCTTTATCCTTAATGTTTACGAAGCATATTATGACAAAGAAAACAGGGCAGTCGTTTCACAATGGTGATGCCACGAGCACAGGTGTTTTAAAGGACAGGTGGACACGCGACATGTCTGTTAGAGAGCACATACATCACAGGTGAGGAGGGGGGGGAACCAAGCTGCGGGTTTTTTCCAGCCGCTCTAGCCTCGGGTTATAACTCTACATACTGGACACTTAATATGAATCTGTAGGGTGAATTCAGGGTGTCGTCAAAGTTGAGGATGACTCTGGTTCCATCACAGCCGGAGGGACGGAGGCAGGTCAGCGACTGCAGGACAAGAAACGGTTTTCCTCTAAAGGTTCAGGGTGGGAGTTCAAAGAGGCGCTTCACAGATTTTTACAGAGGAGGGTTTGCCGTCGTCGAGCTGGGCGGCTCGGTCAGTGGTGACGTTTGCATAACGCACTCTGTGGATCGCCTTTCGTTTGAAACGAAATGTACGTCGTTAGGACGCAGATATGGATTATGGAAACCTTTCAGAGAAGGCGAACTCTGAAAAACTTTCACGTCAGCTCTTCCCTTTAGGCGTCTAAAGGATATAAACTGCTTTTGTCTCAGTGGGTGGGAGGAAAGCACCAACACTTGAATGCTTATAGTTCTGGTCAGTTTTTTTTTATTTATTTTTTTTACATCCATTCATTATCGACATGAGTGTATTATTCGTTTGGTTGATTTATTTTCGCTGCAAGACGCTAAGAGACATATATTCTAATATTTAGGGTGTGTGCACATATTTGACCTAGTATCTAATTTGCCATTGAGTGTATTAGAGAAAGTTCAAAAGAAAATCAAATTAGTGCACCCAGCTTTGTAGTGTGTGTGTGTTAATAGGTGTTAAAAGTGATATAATATTCATACTCATGCTGAGTGGATGTAAACTTCTGATTGACGCCGTTATGAGGTTATGAGGAGATGGAGCGGGAACCTCTCAGTTAGACTGACTTATGTTTACACGTTACATTTAAAACTCATTTAAACTTGAAAAAATAAAAATATCTTCTATCGCTGTTTCTCAGAGTTCAACCTTGCTGCAGGGTGATGCTGGGTGGTAGTAGTCATGGTGATGCCTATGATCATGAAAGTCCTGTGTAAGATGTAGACTCACTTACATATTGCTTTTAACCAAACCAGGAAATCACAAGTTAAAAAAAAAAAAAAATCGGCCTCTATTTACCTTTCATTTTGAGGCCAGTGTTGGCCTTCAGGTCTGAGTTAAAGTAGCTTAATGCGATTAAAGACTTCCGATTCAAGATAGAAAAGCCTTTGGGATAAAAAAAAACAACAAAAAAAACAAAACAAAACATGATTAAGTTAGCTTTAAAAGCCTAGCAAAAACTAGAGGAGGAATGGCTGCTACGCATCATCTGTTGTGGCATGGACATTTTATGCAACATAGAAGAAATGAGGAATGTTGTGTAATGAGAGATCCCATAGTGTTGACGATGCGCAGGCCGCAGAGCCACAGCGCTGCTCATCCAGAAGAGGGAGGCGTGAGGCTGCAGACGGGGATGACGGACACTGAGCAACAACATCGCTACACCACACAGAATATTTAGATTCAATAATCTATATCTAAAAGTTTTATGCATATATTTAACCTGTGGACATGTGTATTCATATGTTTGATCTGCAGACGATGCGGTTAAGACGTGAACACAAAAAGTAATGTTAGGATAGGTGAACAGAGCTTTGCTTAAGTATTCATAAGCTTGTAAACATTTTTTTATTTTTTTTCCACATTTTGTCCTTCTTACAACCAGACATTTCGAAGGGATTCTATGTGATGAACCAGGACAAACGAGTTCACGAATGTGAAAGAGGGAAAGATAAATGAAATCCACTGCAACTCTGCCATTTCAAGAAGTGCTGTTCAATCCATCGTCTCGACATTTAAATCTGCGATATGCATAGGAAAAACTGCAAACAGGACTGGAAATGAGATTTCACCTAAACTAAGAGGCTTGGGAAGAAGAGCGTTAATCAAAGCAGCAGCTCAGAGGCCTGTGGTAGCGGTGGAGGAGCTGCAGAGAATCAAGTCTCAGGAGGGAGAATCTGTTGATAGGCTATATATATATATATATATATATATTCTGCGAATTTCCTGAATAGTTTTTTTTCACATCAACATAGTGAGAATATGTTATTTATTTTCTTTTTACTTTGTTTTCTTGTAATCCACCATTAATCGCAAGTTTTGCAATTTCTGCCAAGTATCAAAATTGTGTGTGTGAAAGCAATTGTTAAAAGAAATGGATTTTAAAAAATCCCCATTTTCACTTTGACACAAGCCTCCTAGATGACACAGTAAACATGTGAGCTGGATGCTCTGCTCACATGAGACCAACATTGAACGTTTTGGATTAAATGCAAACATAACATTTTGCCAAGGAGAACTATCACTACACACGAGCCTGAACGCATCATCACTACTGGGGGAAAAGTAGAGGAGGCGGCATCATACTGTAGGGACGCTCTTATTCGTCAAAGACCGACAGGCTGATCTTTGGAAGACGGATGAAAGTTGATAGAAAACTTAGAGGCTGCAGAAGGCTTTAAATGTCACTCTCTGTTTGTTCTATCACGTATAATCCCAGCTAAAAACATTGAGGTTTGAGTATGAATACTTTTTGTAACACACTGGACTAAATTCTGGGACAAGAGACTAGTTTTATGTGCTATGAAGAAAAACTTCAGACTTGTCTGCGCACACACACACACACATGATAAAATGACACATGTGTTTACTTTGTGTGTTTATGGATGCTCTGCCTCACTGTCGGAGGCGGGAATAATGGCAAACACTCGGATAATGACTTCCAGCACTGTGGCACTGCAGCTAACTGTATAATGTTTGACTTTGTCCAGAAGAGGGCGATATTACTTCAAAAACGACAATATGGGAGAATTTATGTATTTTTCCAGCAAAAGATTGTAATTTATTTCATCAGACAATTTATGTGTGTGTGTGTAGATGTGACAAGCATGTGTTAATGCCTGCATAGTGTATGCGTGTGTGTGTGTCTGCAGTTGAGAAAGATAAAGCCACTGTGTTTGTGTAGACGGATTCCTGTGTGTGTGCTCAGTATGTTCCACATGAACTGTCCCACTCAGGTTTCCCCTTCTGCTTCTTCCCGTTAACCTCTTCTCTTCCTTTGTTCCCCTCCTCTTCGTCTTCATCGCTGCTGTCTGATTCAACGATCGTCATGCCTCCCACCAGCTCAACGTCGTCTTCTTCATCCTCCTCCTCACATTCTTCTCCTCTCGCAGCTTCTCCCGGCGCCTGGGGTCCTTTCATGTCCTAGGCGACAAAATCCAGATCTCACATCCATAGCCGGCGGTCGTGTTCACTGCATCAGAGATAGATAAACCTGCTGAAGACTCGAGACGGTCTCGGTTACCTCCATGGGGTTGACGGTGATGTTGAGCCCAGAGCCTTCCCAGTCCGACTCTGGATCCTTGATTTCATCCTCCTCGTCTCTGGAGCCCTCCTGGTGCGTGGCGTGGATCCTGTAGATCCCGATCACCACGATGATCACCAGGGCGGCGATGCACACCACAATGACAACTGTGGCTGCAGGGGGCGCTGGACCTGGCGGAGAAAAGACAATCATGAGCTAGCAGCGTCACTTCAGTTTCAAAGTGTTTTTAATAAGAGACAAAGCTGGAGACATGTAAAGCACAAAAGACGTTCATGGTTTGGTGGCGGCCCGAGCCTCAGGATTACGATGAGAGATAAGAGCGACAAGGTTCAGTGGAAACTGATTCAGTGAATGCATCATGTGCAGCGCCAGCATCACTCTTGAATGCACAAAGAATGTTTACACAAGACTGAACTCTTCAAAGAGCAAGCAGCTGGAATATCAGCTGTTCACTTTTTTTATTTTTCCCCTCGCTGCGAGCCACATCTTTTACGTTTTGATTGGTTGCACCCTCTCTGGCAATCCTGACCGGGAGATTAGAGCACCAGCAATTCATCGGGATGAAAAAGGCACACAGAGAAGGAAACTAAATCTCACTAGTTATAGATCTAACATAAAAAATTAAGACTCCTGCTTTCTAAGTAACCTCCAATCCATTTTTCATTTAAACCACGCCGAAAGAAAGACATTACAATCCAACCTGCAGACAGAGTATGAATGCACCGAAATGGACTTGCAGAAACTGTCACAAACACATCAGATGTCAGCGGTAGCCTACAAAACTGTCTTCTGCAGGTTAAAGCAAACTCTTCTTCCAATCTAGTGTCAGCCCAGGACAGAACAGGAGACTTTATTAAAAATCATATCTTGATTAATTTAAAAATCTGGAGAACTTTGTGAACCTTAATGGAACATCTAAAGCCCAAAGGAAGCATCTTAGAGGTAGGTATTGAGGGTAGCCTACATGAATCATCGACTACTGAGGTCAGTCACTTTTTAGGGTTTCTTGATGTCACATAGAAAGTGAACTGAACTACAACCTGTCAGAAAGTTTTCTCTCTGGAGTCAATTGACCGCTTCCTCTGTAGTGACCATGTTCTGTTTGTGTCATAAATTTTGTTTATGAGTAATTTGTCAAGGAAATCCATGTATAATGGCAGCCTGGGTCTGTGAGAGGCATCATCAAAACTGTGTTATCTATCAGAGGAAAACAATCAGAGCAACCTTCCTCTTCTTAGCTATAGTCTCACCCGCTTTGGATGAATAACTTCAGGGACTTCAGGGCTGAACTTGCTTCACTCCACATTTACAGCTATGAGATGTTTGACGTTACTCCACAGGCTCTCACTGAGATCATCATCTGTGTTTGTTCTGTTCACATTTTCCTTTTCTTTAAAGGTTTTGGTATTTTATTTAACAGTAGTTTGACAGGAAACAGGGCAGTAGTTTTAAATGTTCTTCACTTCTACATATTTTTTTTCATACTGTGGAAATATGGAATACAAATTCTTTTTGAGACCTCTTCACATCTTCTACCGTACTCGTAATCAGATCTGACCTTCTTTCTGAAGCTCTCTCGATCTCATCATGGGGGTCCGGTGACATTTTAGAGGTCAGGAGCACGCCAAATTAAATGTCTAACATTTAGACAGGACGAGCTGCGCTTTAAAATGCTACAGCACAAATTATCATCAGGTGGGAACAAGTTTGATGAGGAAAAAGGAGAAATCCATGTGATCAGACCAATCAGCCAGGTAAGGATATGTTTTCCACTTCTTCATCACTGGCTTACCTGACATGTGTGAGTTCGGGGTGTGGATCATCAGCGGGTGATGGACCGGTCTCATGTACTGGGACTGGGCGGCCATGTGATTGACGTGCTCCATGGGCGCAGTGTGGTGAAGGACGCTGATCTAGCGGAGCAGGAACAAAGAGCCGTCATCCTCAAAGACGAGGCCAAAGAAAGGCACACAGTTTAACGCACAAAAAAGAAAAAAAGACAAATATTTATGAATAGCCCAAAAACCTGCCTCCAGGTTGAACTCGTTGCTGGTGTAGCGTCCGTTGAGTTCGGAGCAGGTAAGTCTGAACCTTCTCTCCGTCAGAGAGGCGGGTCTCCAGTTCCTGTAGCGCAGCTGCCTCAGGACCTGCTCATAGTGGGCCATGGAGTCCACACCTGTGGACAGAAAAACCCACTGACAAACTACCCTACATTTACATATCCATTTCAAAATCTGCAGGACGGTTAAATAGATTTTTCTGCCTCTGATGTCTCTGGTGCAGACTTTAGCTGAGCAATAATGACACAGAAAAATGAAAAATGTGGTTAAATCAAAATGTATTTATTAATTTATTTATTTGTTTCACTGTTTCACAGTTTTATCTAAAAAGAAAGTGTACATTTATGGACTTTTAAACAATAAGGAAGACGTTTCACATTTTTAATCTCTACTAATTGCTTCCCAGGTTTTGACCTCCTTTCAGCTACCTTTTAATTAAACTACTTGACTTTTTATCAACGTAAATAAATAAAATGTAAAGATGAATGTGTTGCTTTGCTTCACTCACTGAGATTAGTGGACATTTCCTCCTACCTCCTGATTTAAAACAGAAGATGGGTTTTTTTTTTCTCCCCAGATTTTTTTATTTTTTATTAAGATTTCTGACAGATACGGTTGAGGTTTTATGAGTGATGTTACCATATATTGATATTCCAGAGGTGGAGTTGGTGGCATCGAGGTGCTTTCCCAGTAAAGCGCTGTGCTGAATCTCCAGGCTCTCTCTCTCTGGTTCCAGTTCGTCTCCGATTACAAGCACATCACAGTAGTCCAGGTTGTGCATCACCTCCATCACCCCTGGCCGGCGGACTGCACACACAGCCACAAAGTTACTTAACATACGAGTAGGAAAAAAAAAAAAGTTTGCATTGATGAGGTCTGGAATTATAAATAAGATGTCAGATATATATATATATAAAAAAAAGCTCAGAGGTGTGTCCACTCACATCCCCCAAAGCTGTCGCTCTTCATCACCGTGCTGGTGATCCGCAGCTCTTTGAAGGGCGCCACGCCCAGCGGGCTGCGGAGGACGCTGGCGGGTCTGACGAGCTGCTTGGATCCTGAAATGGTGATTCTGGGTTCACTGGGCGGCAGCACCATGACCACCGCCTTGATGTCCGGGATGGAGACGCACGTGTCCTCTCCAAAACACCTGACCGGTGGACAGAGGAGGTGTTACAGCAGCACGGCTTATCCGTCTTCACCTAAAGCCTTAACTGTTAGACTCCTACGGTGCCGATAACGTGCTCGATACTCGGCACATGCCTCGTCTTGTTCCAATAGACAATACAAAGCAGAAAACATCCATTTCTAAAACAACGCATGTTTTTTTTTAAGGTTATTCCTTCACCAACTAAAATACAGCGATGTATTATTAACGAGATTTTATGTCAAAAACACAAAATAGAACAAAGGTTTTGAGCAGAAGGAAAAATCATGCATGATTTTAAATTATTTACAAATAATAATAATAAAAAAAAAACAGAAATGCGGTCCAAACACTGCAGAACTACCTTCGTCTCCCGTTACAGCTGTAAGAGCTTCGGGGTAAGTCTCCATCAACCATTGTTACAGGCTCAATGGTTTAAGCTTGAATAGACAGAGAAGCTGTAAACATAGATTTTAAGTTTTAATAATAGATTCGCAACTGGATTTAGAGCTACAGTTTGACTGGGATCATTCTAAGAGATTTTGTTTTCAGATAAAGTCACATGCAAATTACTCTTTTAACACTTCTAAAAAAAAATGTGCATAACTAGGTATTACCAGATAATGACTGGTTTGCTATAAGCTTAATTCACATGTGTGGAGATGCTAAAGCATGTTTAAAAATGCTTTATTTTCACCTCTTCATCAAATTTCTTCTGTAGCTTATACACACTTTCTCCCTCATGTCATCTTGGTTGTGATATCCAACTAGAGATTCTCAATTTTCCTTCAAATTGTCTATTTCTTAAGGCATTATTTAAAAGTCTATTAAATTTGTATGAAACATGCTTTTTTGATCGGTAAAAGCTGGGTTTTTTTTATTATGCTGACGAAATACTCCGATATTACTAGGTTTTTTGGGGGGGGTTTTCTCCCCGAGTTTGATCTGCAGAATGTTGGATGGGATTTTTCTGTCTCGCTCTGAAGACTTTTGCAGCTTCAAGCAAGTTTTTAGTCCCAGATGTAGCTCAGTCTGATTTGCATTTTAGTGTGAGAATCTTCCCTGCCCATTTTGAAGAATAACATCCGCCCCCAGCATGATGCTGCCACCACAATGTTCCCCAGTGGGAACTAAGTGCTCAGTGTTGGGTTTTCACAGAACATCTGGATTTATAATGAAATTCAGGCGAGTTTTGTTTACTAATGAGATGACTTTTTAAATTTGTAAAAAAAAAAAAAAAAAAAAAAATTTAAAACCCATGTTATATTATGATTTAACTTCATAACTGTGTTCTTCATAAAATCCCAATAAAACACATTGGAGCTTCAGGGGGTAGAATTACAAACATTATATTAAATCTTCTCTGTATGATAAAATGTAAGAGTATTAACGGGAAATAAATTGTCAGTGATGGTTGATATTTTTGGGTTTAAATTAATAAAACTCATTTTATTCTACTGTTGCTCCTGGATCTTGATTTGAGTTGCATTCCACTATAAAGAGGATGATACAATTTTCTGCTGAAAATGAACAGGAACTGTTCATATCTTAGTTTTCAAATGTAAAAAAAATAATAATTGTAGTTTTCCTCTATGCAGTTTGCTTTATACGTTTCACCCAGCAGCACCAAATTAATCATTTTTGCTGGGTCATGTGGAACTAGTCCATGAACTCTATATGTCAGAAAAGCCCAGTGAGGA